TTATCTATAAAATGTGTAACAAAGGTTATTATGAACTGTAGTCACCTCATGGCGTGTAGAAAACTAGAATTCATTACTTCCACCTAGCTGTTTTGGAGTCCATTATCCAAGTTTTAACTGCCCTTTCCCAACCTTTTTAAATTGGATGTCTTGTTGAGTTGTAAGAGTTCTTTATATATTCTAAATTCTAGGCCCATTATCAAATGTAAAATTTCAAAGTGTTTTCTTCCATTCTGTGGGTGAGTTCTTTTTTTAGAACTATTGATTTCTCAGTCCTAAGCCACATTTATTCAATCAGCACCAACAAGTTAAAAGAAAATTTCCAGGTGAATCTGATGAGCCAGTAGGTTTGTTAATCGATTTTCAATTTTTTGGGGAGTGGGGGGGCGAGTTTACTGGAGATTGAAGTTAGGGCTGTGCACTTGCTAAGCAAATGCTCTACCATGTGGGCCACACTCACAGTCCTCTGTTTTTTTGGTTTGTTTTTTTCAGATAGGCTCTCATGTTTTTTCCTGGGCCGGCCTTGGACTACAGCCACTCTACCTCTACATCCTGAATGGCTGAGATTACATGCATGTACCACCATACCTGGCCCAAATTTTAATGTGTATAAAACCTTGATGAAATGATTCTGAAGGAAACAGAAAACCACATTAGGACACCACGGTAAGGTGGTGTGGCTGGACTATCTTGGGAGGCCCGCACCAGTTACTGTAGCTGAAGTCCCTCTCGGTTCTCATTACTGTCTCTGGGACATGTGAGTTTCCATCTGGGATCAAACTGGACAGCTGGCTCCACATCAGGCCTCAGAGCCTGGATGACATAAGGGATATGGAAACGAGGCAGACAGGTACGCTTGTGCATCTGTTTGCCAGGGGTGCGGTGGAACACAGTGGGACCTGTCATGACATGTCTGTTGGAAGTTTTGAAAACATGGCTGCAGTCATTTTCTGTGATGCTTTCTATCTCTGAACTCAGCAGAACACCACAGCTGGAGCCAGTGTCAACCAAGTAGTGTCTTCTGGACCTCTATGGCCTAGAGGTGGTATTAGAAAAAGGAGGACTTTGTTACTTGCTTAGAGGATTGAGCCACAATTCTGGAGACATGATCCTTTCGTGAATAATGTATTTCGCTACAAGGAAAAGTTGAATGGTGTATTTGACCCTGGTTTTACCTAGGCACTTATGATTTCAGCTGCAATGGCAGGCATTTACAGTCCATTTCTCCAGAGAAAGGAGTAAGATCATATAATTCTTACTCCCCATCCATAGGCTACTTCCTGAGGAAAAGTGGACTAACTTTTAAGCCTCATTTTAATAGCAACCAGCTGCACTGGCTTATAAAGACTTGGTTTCAGCTGGACACAAGGAACTGTGGGGAAAACACATGGGCACTTCTGGATATGTTGTAAGTATATCAGACAGATGGTCTTAGAGGATTTGAAAGGGGAATGCCTGCTTCATATGCTGACATATCAGAGACTGTTACCCATTTTCTTACTTATGAAAGTAAAAAGCAAACACTACTGGAATATGAGATTTCTTCTGTGATAGAAAATGATAAAGAGTGTGAAAGAAGAATCAGACATTCTAGGAATGATGCTAGCTGTCACCACCTCAAAAACTTATGCTAACTATAGCATATCCACGTGGAGTTGAAAGAACAAGACTGTGCAGAAAGGGAATAAGATATAGATTTTTTTCAAATATTGTTTTTGATTGCTCAAGAAGGTCATGGGTCACTTTGCTGTGGTCTAACAATTCACCTGGTGAGACAGATTCCAAAACACAGGCATATGATGGCTACTTATGAACTAGAGGTCTAACTCAATGGAGGACAGCACAGAGCAGCTGTACAGGAGGCCAAAAGACTACAGTAGACCATGGAATATTGAAAATAATTGGGCAACATCCAACTATGTCTAAAGTGGAAGTTTGGTTGTAGGAATTAAAGTTATCAGACCATATTATATCTCTGCTGCCTCCAAGGAAATGCTTTTAGAACCACTCCTTTCTCAAAATTTCTATTTTCTCTAACATGTCCACAGAACACACTTGCATTCTGTTGATTTAAGGCAGTCAAGAGAAGAGTATTGTTTATTGTATGAGCACTTTTTCAGTTTCCTAAACAAAGCCATCACTATACATGTACTGTAACTATCCAAAGACACTATTGACAGTCATGTATTTCTACTCCTGGCTTTTGTTTAACTCCCAGAAATTATAAAACAAAATAGTGAATTCTCAGTATTAGTTTCATTTTTCTCAGAAAACAGGCACAATGTTTTAAATTTAATTATTTGATATGAGTGGTCACTGTTTTTGATCACCAATGAAATAGTGCCTATTTTGTATACTTTAAGCAATGAAGTGTTTTGGTTTCCACTGCTAACAGATGGTTGAGATTTAGCATATTTAAATATTTAAATTGTTAACATATCAAACTCACATAGTAATAGTTTGGAACTGTAAAATAAACGAGTACAATGCTGATTCTTGCCAGCTCAGTGACATCAGCATGCCTGTCTCCAAGGTTATAGTACACGAATGAATGTGATTAGTTTTCCAGTGGTTTACTAATTATGAACTTGAATTACCACCTACTTATAGTTTACTTAAGGGGAAAAAAAAGACCACTTTTGAGTCTTTCTCTATTTGCTTTCACAATGAAGAATTTGAACTCCCGAATTACTTCCAGATCTGTATAAACTACATTTATTTTGTAGAGAAAATGGTAATTTTTGGTTTTGCGCTTACAAGTTTTTTTCAAGGTATCATTCATATTAATATCTGAGACACTACAAACATTATCTGCTACTGATTCAGCAGGTGGTGATCTTAGTTGACTTACAGCTTTGTAAATGAACAAGCTGCTTTTTGATAAGAAATTTATCATATGCATTATCCACATGAACATATTTGTTGCATTCTATCAAGAGGCTCCACTTACAGATGTTGTACTGGTAAATAAAGCTTGTAAAATTAAAAAAAGAACATCACAGTAATAACTGCTGTAAATATGACCCACTGAAGAATGCTAATGATAATGGGAAAAATGTAAGGAGAAAAAGATATTTGTGTATCATTTAAGTATTTTCCAAAGTATCTCTCAGATGAAAAGTTGCTAACTTTTCAGCTAAAAAACCTGGCAGGTTCCACCTTCATCAAGTGCTCAAGGTTAATGTGACCAGTAGTAAGACATATGACACCACAAACCTAATGAGACAATGTGCTAAGAAAAGCATATCACCTCTGTGGTAATTTCCAAAACAGACAACCTCAACTGAACTACAAGAAAACATCAGACAAAGCCACACTGGGGGATGTTCTAGAAAATATCTAACCAGTATGCTTTAGAAGGGTCAAGGTTGTTAACAGTAAGAAAAACCAAGCTGTCATAGACTGGAGATTCCAACGTAACACTAAATCTAATGTGCTGACCTGGATTGGATCTTGAACAGAATAAGGTCATTATTGAAAAACAGGTGAAATTCAAACAGTCTGAGTTTAGCTAATAGGACTGTGCCAATGTTAACTGCATACTATTGATAATTATGCCATAATAAGTAAGAATGTTAACATTAGTGAAAGCTCAGTGGATGGTCCATGGGAATTTGTGGTACTACATTCACAATCCTTCTGACAGTCTAAAATCATTTCAAAACAAGAAGAATTTAAACTATGCATATTCCAATATTGTAAGTGCAGGCAGAGGCCCAGACTTTGCCTTTGTAACCAGCTTCCAGTAGAGGTGGCTGCTGCTCATCCTCAAACCCCATCCTGAGTTTTGACAAGTGGTTCTTAGACTTAGCCATGCATCAGAATAAACCTGGAGGCTTTTTTTTTTTTTTTTAAACAAAACAGACTGCTGGGACTTACTTCCAGAGGTTCTGATTCAGTTTGTTTGGAGTAAGGCCCAAGAATTTGCATTTCTAATAACTCCCAGGTGATGCTGATGAGCTAAGCATGGTTTTTATTTTAAAGATAGTAAAAATGTTTACAAAAACAGGAATATGAAACAGACTATATCTGGCCTTCAAAGCATAAAATATTTACAGGAAATGGTTACTGAGCCCTAGACCCTCCTTACTACTCAGCACGAAGCTTTTAAAAGACACTACTGCTGGGCTGACAGTGTAGCTCAGTGGTGGAGCATTTGTCTAGTATGTGTCAAGCCCTGGGTTCAAGCTCCAGAACCACAAAAAACCAAAAACAAAATACCTAAAAGACACCACTGCTTAGGTCCACCACTCAGAGATCCTTAGTTAAGTCATCTGGCGTGGGTGCTCAGCACCAATGTTTTTTAAACGCTCCTCCTTCATTCTGAGAATTGCTGATACAGATTATCTGCTTGCCTCAGAGAAACCTGCTCTTCAACCATCCCAGAGAGCTGGAGATGAGCCCAAACAAATGCCAAGAGGCATTTTTGCAATTTAATACTTGTTTTAAAAAGTTAAGGTATTTTTTCATGAAGGTTATCAGACCCCAAACACAAAACTAGTATTTCTATTCTCTCACTTACCCCTCCCAAGTGAATATAAAGAAACACAGGATTATATATCAATAATCAGAAAAAACACTAAACAAACAAGTAAGCAAGCAAACTGTTCAGGGTGGTCTGAAATGGATGGGCTAGGGCAGACAGATGGACCAGATGCAGGATCAAGTGTAATTTTCCCTATGGCAGAGCTGACAGGTAACAGGGCCCAAGGTACCTAGGAGAGCAAAGGCAATGGGAGAAAGGCTGAAGGCAGAGGAATGGCAGTGGTGTCAAGGGACTTGAAAAACATCATAAATGATCTTTACCTGCATCACAACCCAAATGTATCTTGGTTTCCCATTTGACTGTCATTACCACCAAGGGTCTCTATAATAGGCCAAACTCCTTCAAATCTCATCTTTTGCCTATTATTCATGTTAAGGAGGAATGCCTAGTTGGAGCAAGGATCTGAGAGTGTCACTGAAGCCCCTCTAGAAAAGGGCTATGTTTGTTCTCATACCTGTGCTCTCCTCAGCCTGATTGAATCCACAGATCTGGCAGATGCTCTGGACCCACTTATTCATGTCTTCCTCTGTCTCAGCCACCAGGTAAAAGGTGCGCTCACTGGTCTTGATATCAAACACAAAACTATCCTGCAACTCCTTCTTGTTGAAGGTCAGGCCTGCATCCACCTGCTCACAGAAATTCAGGTTGATGATTCTCAGAGGTTTTTTGGAATGATCATTCTTGTAGTATTCCAGAACATCTGGGTCACCACTCATCCGGCCACTCCGCAGGATAAACCAGCGTTTCTTCCAGGCCTAAACCACCAGGGAAGGAGCAAAGAGAAGGAAGCATTTCATTAGTTATTTCAAAGCTTTTAACAGGCCCTCAGATATCATAGGTTAAGGACAGGGACTACTGGACTCATAGACTGCTCATAGCCTATGTCTTTCAGATTTTCCCAGAGTTTCAAAAATGGAGGATGATTTTATCTTTTTCTCTCTTTATTTTTTGGTGGCAGTGGGGTTTGAACTCAGTGACTCATGCTTGCTAGGCAGGCACTCTACCACTTGAACCACGCCATCATCTACATTCCATCTCTTCAACAAGACTGAGTAATCTATGAGAGATACCAAAGTGGTGAAAAGATTATATACAATTGAGCCCTTTGGGTTGAGGCCCTGCTTTTCCACAGACTCACTGCATGATTCTCAACTAAATCCTTTACTTCTTTGGACCATGCCTTATCTACAAATGAGAATCACCATCACTACCATCACCATCTACCCCACCTACTCCATAGTTTTTTTTTTTTAATTAATATTATGGAAACGAATCCAGAGCACTACAAGCACCAAAGATTTGATTATTATCACTATTCTTTAGACCCCAAGGAGCTACACTCCATTAATCCTACCAGCTTTTCACTCTCACCTTTTATCTCTGGCTTCATTTCCTTCCTTATCCAACTCTGTTTCTGTGATCCATCATTACAATCATTTCCTTGCTTCTTTTTCCATTCCTTTTATTTACCTGGCAAAACCATAACCTCTAGCTACGTCTAATGCTCTGAATATGCTATTTGTTCTAAGTGATACAAGATGGGAGAAAATCATACAGTCATGCTGACTGGTTTTACTTTTACCTTCCAGTGGGCCCCCAGACTACCCAACAATCCTACCACATTTATCTAGTCCAGGACTTTCTGCTGCTCTTTGGCAACAACCTCTGAAATTCTTTTTCTTTAAACCTTTAAAGTCCACTCCTTTTTTATTTTATAAGAATTTAGAATCAAGAGAATTCATACATGCTCCATTACCACATTTACCAACAACAGCCATGTTCTGATACTTAGAAAGCACAGACATTTCACCTAACCTGTGGCCAGACTTCTTGCTCATAGCCTACATAGGGACATTACTTCAACAACTGCCCCTTCTCCAGAACAGTTACATCTTTCGCCCTACTACGATCATTCCCATCAAGATACCAATGTCCCATCTTAGGAAAATTAAAGGTTTTCTTGTCCTACATTCCTGTCCAAGTATGACTCGATTTTCCCACTCCTCTTTACAGTTAAACTTCAAGGAGTTTCCATAGCACTTCTTACTTTTGTTTCCTCTCCTATTTGAAAGCTCTCTAATAAGGCTGTTCCCTCCACTGCACAGTAGCAGTGAAGTAGCTACACTGAAGTAGCTCACTAAAGGTCTCAAAAACGTCATTGCTGCTAAATCAACTCTTGAGCCCTACTCAAGTTATTATTTTTCCTCCTTGAAACACTTTCTTCCCTTGGCTTCTGTATATACTCTCTATTCTCCATCTCTTCAGTCTTACTTTTTTGAACTCCAGTGCTGTCTTTCTCCCTGATCTTCAGAATTTGGAATGTTCCAATGCTCAGTTCTCAGACTCTCTCTTTTTCACCCACTCCCAAGTTGTTTTATCTAGTTTCACAGTTTAAAAAGCCATCTAATTACTACAATTCACAAATTTGCATCTCCAGTCCAAGGCCATCTGCTGAATGAACTTGAATCTTATATTCATCTCTTCATAAATAGGCATCTCAAAACTAATGTGTTAAAAAGTGAGCTTCTGATATCCTGCAAGCCTATTCCTCCTGCAATCTTTCCTGTCTTGCTTATGCTAATACCAGCCTTGGCCAGGCACCAGTAGCTAACACCTGTAATCTTAGCTACTCAGGAGGCAGGGAGAAGGATCAAAGTTTGAAGCCAGCTTAGGCAAGTATCTTGAAAAACCCTATCACAAAAAATTGGGCTGAGGGAGTGGCTCAAGGTGAAAGCCCTGGGTTCAAGCCCCAGTACCACAAAAAACCCAAAAACACCAGCCTTCTAGCTGCTCAGACCAAAAATCTTGATGTCATAGTTGCCTCTTTTCTTTCTTACTCCATTCACTTTCAATTATCAGAAAATCCAGTCAGTTCAAACGGTTCAAAATATATCCATAAATCAGCCACTTCTCTCCTCCTCCATTGTTCTTCACTTGATCTCATCTACTATTTTATAGCTTTCTTACTTCTACCCTTCCATCTAGCAATCTATCCTCAACTCAGACGTCAGAAGGCAGGATGTAAATGAGAACCACTACTTCTCTGTACGAAATCTCCAATGGCTGTCCATCCACCCAGAGTAAAAGTCAATGTTTTTACCCTGGCCTATAAGCCTGTGTTACAGTTCAGATCTGAAATGTTCCCAAAAGGCCCGTGTGTTAAAGACTTTGTCTCAGCCTGGGGTGCTACTGGAAGGGAGGGCTGGTGGAGTGGCTCAAGTGGGAGAGTGCCTGCCTAGCAAGCATAAGACCCTGAGTTCAAACCGCAGTACGGGGGCTGGGCGGGGGGGGGGAGTGGGGTTGAGTGGGAGGTTAGGTCATTGGGGGCACACCCTCAAAGGGGGGTGTGGGGCCCTATTCTTTTTTTCTCTCTCTTTGCAAAATGTGATCATCTTGCTCCACCACGAGCTCCCTGCTATGATGCACTGCTCCTGTGAATCTTTTTTTTTGGTGATGCTGGAGCTCAAGCCCAGGATTAATGCTCCACCACTGAGAGCTATACCCCATTCCAATTTTTTTTTTAAATAAACCATGCATTTGCTATAGTAACAAAAAGCCAACTAATACAGGCTGGTAGGCCTGGACCTGTTTCATCTGACTCCATCATCTCCTGCTTCTCTCCACCTTGTCCATTCTGTTCTAGCCACAATGGCCTTAAACACTGCCAGACACACTCCTGATTAAGGGTCTTTATTCTAGTTGTTCTCTCTTCCTGGAACACTCCTCCCCCTTATATTCTCATTCTTTTTTCAAATATTTATCAAAACGTTACATTGGAGAGATTGTTCCTGACCCTCCAATAATCACATTCTCTTTTCTCCTTCCCATTTTTAAAATTGACTTCACTAGCACTTATACCACCTAAAACACCATTTTTTTTTTTTATCTTGTTTTTGGTGTTATTGGTTGGGGTTTGAACTCAGGGACTTATGATTGCAAGACAGGTGCTCTGCCACCTGAAGTCACTCCTCCAGCTCTTCTGCTTTGGCTGCTTTGGAAATAGGATCTTGCTTCTTGTCCAGGCAGGCCTGGACTGCTTCTTACCATGACTGGGATGACAGGTATGCAGCACCACATCCAGCCTTTTTCCACTGAGATGGGGTCTTGCAAATTTTTTTTGCCCTGGCTGGCCTGAAACTATGATTTTCCAGATCTCAGACTCCTGCATAGCTTGGCATGACAGATGTGCCCCACTACACCCAGCTATTGGTTGAGATGGGGGTCTCCCAAAGTTTTTTTTGCTGGCCTCAAACCATGATCTGTCAATCTCAGCCTCCCAAGTAGTTAGGATTATAGGCACCAGGGCCCAGCTAAATAGTTTGCTTTTTTTTTTTTTTTGTAATTCTGCCAGCCCTAAAATATCATTTTTAATGATTATTTGTATCTACCTCCAGGAATGTAAACTCCACCAGCACAGGGATTTTTTTTTTTTAACTCCTCGGTGCTTAGAATATTGTGTATCACACAGCTGGTGATCAATAAATATTTACATTAATCATTTTCTTACATGAAGTCCTTGCAGCTCTTAGTAGGTCAAGAGGAACATTGTTGGTACCTAATAAGCCTTAGATAAAAATGAAAATTGATATAGACAGACACAGTAGAATTGAGGGAAATAAAAATAAGTAGCATTTATTTATAATCACCTAATGACTTGACCACTGCTTGCAGAATTGTGTGTGCTTGTGTGTGTGCATGCTTAGGTACAAGCAGAGACATGAAGTCTGTGAGCATGCTACTAGTACATACACAGTGTGTGGGCACCACAGTACATTTTTAAAAGGTAGTGTTAATAATTCAACTGGTGTTTCACTTGATGCGTCATCTTTAGTTCTTACTTCTTTTGAAAAGAGAGGTCCCCAAATCATTGACATGCAGGTAGTAGGCATAAACACACACAGACACTCTCATGAGGAAGAAAATGATGTATGCTACAAGTAACACCAGAGCCTTCAGGTTCTGCTTCTAAGTAGTTCAGGCAGATAAATGACTAACTACAAAATGCTGACAAATTTACAAAAGCAGACAAAGATGCCTAGTCTAGTCCCAAATTCACATTCCTCTTCTGCCACAACTCCTCTCCAATTCCACACGTTAAAAACAAAACAAAACATAAAAACCATTTTGATCCAAGTGTAAGCAACCCAAAGTGTCTAGTCCTAATGAGGGCTTCTCTGGTTGCCTCAGCTGACATGGACCTCCACTTCTTCTGAACCATCAAACTTTTTATGTACTTTTTCATGGTGTGCCATTTTTTAGAACATAATACAGATATTTTTAACTCATCTCTTGCCAGCTACTCTGTAAATAAAGCGCTTTATTCAGAGTCCTTTTCACCTTGCTATACCCATTTATGTTTCTTCCCTCCTTCTGTTCCTCCCCTGTTTCCTTGCATCCTAACGTCTAATCATTCAACAAACACTTATTTAGTGCTGACTATTCTCCAGGCATTTATGTTGTGGATAGAGCATAAATTCCTGGTCTCACAGAACTCATAGGTACACACAAATTACTTATTATTGTCTAAAAGTACCACATAATTTCATAATTTCATGTCTTTGTGCAAGCCATGGCTTTTCCTAAAATGCCTTTCACCTTACCTCATCCATATGGAGAATTCCTATGCCTCTCAATGCCAGCTCAAGTGTCTCTTCTGGAAGAGCTTCACTAATCCTCCCAGGTAGAGCTGTGCTCCTTCTTCCCTTCCTTTAATATCTGCACTTTCCCTACCTTAGAATTTCTTCCCTTAAAATTG